TTACATGGTGAATTATCTAAGTAAAATTTTGAGCATTCATAAACATTAACATTTATTTTAAATAAAACTCATAAATAAATATTAAGTTTGGTACCAAATCATTATCCATGGTCAGATAATAATTTTGAGAAATAATCAGTGCTGAATTTTTAGATCGATGGAATAAAAGTATTGTTGAACTTAGATTATAATACTAAAAAAAAAAGCTATAAAAGAAGCCAACAAAAAACAACACTAAAAAAATCGTTCAAACAAGACAAAAAAGTCATCATAAAGCAAAAAAAAAAACAAAAAATAAATGAAAAATGGGGACATATCAAATTATACTGATCGGAATGTCAAATTCAAATACTATATTATTTCCCCGTCCTTCATCTTGACATTCCAGAAATCGAGAATAACACGGTAATGGAATACATTTCATTTCTTTCTCATAGCAAATTCCTTATAACATATTCAATTCTTCGTTTTTCTTTTTTTAAGGGTTAATTTGTCTAAATTTAAGATTTTTTGCTGCCACATCTCTTCATTTTTCACACTTCATTATCATATTCGACGTGGCACATCTCCTTAGCTATTTAGTTTTAAATTTAAAACTTTCCAAAAATAATTTTCATAAGAGCGTTTCATATTTTATGCAAAAAAGTGGCACATTTTCAATGCTTTCATCAATTTCAACATAATTAAATTTGCAGTATTTTGTTTTAATTTCTAAACATTCTTCAGCGACAGTTTAACTTTTTTCTAAATCTTCCTGACCTTACGAAACATTTCTCAATTGATCTTTTCCATTCCAAAAAGTAAACTATGATGTTTGCTTGAATTTATGATATTCAGCCACTTTTATCATTTTTAATTGTAATATCGCTTGGAGTGATCCTGCGTAGTGTAATATTTGCTAATGTTTACATTTAATTAAGCGTAATTGCATACTTAATTTCATATTCTAACTACCACATTGCAGCTATTGTTTTAATTAAAAACATTAATTACGAGATTACCATCAAAAATAACAATGTTTCCGATAACTGAATTATCTATTAATGCTACTGGCAGATATCATCGTTCAATCCAGTTTATTTTCCTATTTTCCATCAACAAAATTTGATAATACAAATAGAAGAATTCATGAGAGAGAGAGAGAGAGAGAGAATGCTTGTGTTAACTTGTGATGAAAATTTGTTTCATGAAAATTTTTTGTGAATTTTGATTTAAAAGTTTAAAATTAATATCATTTCATATTTCGAAATCAAAACATTGATTAAATTTGTTGAGAGGATATAATTGATTATTAGGATTAGCCGATATGCATTGCAGAACGGAGTTTATCGATTGTAAGCAGACAAAATCATTTTAAGTAAATCAATAAAATTAATCATTGAGTGAATTTGTATATTCATTTTCTTTCGAATTCAGATTATGATTTTATTGCAGCTAATTTCATGGCATGTTTAATGGAAATCATCTATCCGTAATTGATTTATGTAAATTATTGAGTAAATGTTACGGTTATATTTAAACTTTATCTTTAAATGCTTTGATTGACTACATAAAAAGAAAAGACTATATGGTGATGAATGCTAAAACTGTAAATGATTATTACAAAAATTAATGTTTGAAATTTGTTTTTCAAATAACAACAAATTATTTTTAGTAAAAGTATGCAAAGGGAGAATTTTGAATGCAAATCTTTTCATTCCAAACTTCTTACATCCTTTTACAGAGATTTATATTTGAACTGTTTAAGGTCAATTTGAAATTTGTTATGATATCAACTAAGTAAGCGAAATAGCAGCAGCAATTCTGATCAGCTCATGCATCAGTTGTTCTCGTTCATAGGTGAGCAGCTTTCAACAGATGTATTTGCATTCCTCAACTCCGTTTTTTGCTCACATTCCCCTCTCCCACTCCTTTCAAATAAAAAAAGGAAAATTTGATCTCAATCAGTGGAAAAAAAAAGGGTTTGAATTCTTGGAATTTGCTATGGTAGCTAATTCTTTCATCTTTCTATTTCATAGTTAAAACTAACTTAAACGAAAAAAAATAACAACAGAGGCTAATTTGATGATGCTATAAATTGACAATAATTTTTTATTTTTTAGTTTTAAATTAGCATTATTTTAAAGTCATTTTTAAATAAGCACAAAAAAAAACTACTTGTTATGACTTTTTTTTGAAATTTATCAGAAGCATTTATCGTTAAAAATGAAAGACAAGAATTCATCGCAAGAATTTCATTTTGCTATAAAGCGTGAATTTTCTTCAGCAAATTCATTTCTTTGTTGAAAGAACGAATTTCAAAGTTTTATTGAAATGATGATGAAATTGACGAATTAAATTCTTTGCGAAATGGTTTTTCTCTAAAATGAAATTTTAATTTCTTTTTTAAAAATATGTTGAATGGTTTTTCATAATTTTAAATTTCTTTCTGTTTGTACCAAAATAAAAAATAAAAAGAAATCATTTCTTGCTGTCAAAAAGATTTCTTTGAGATTTTTAACAAATGTATGAAAAAAAAATTTTATATAACGCATAAATATTTTACATTAACCAGTTTCTCTTCTGATTTTCATATTTAACACGTGAATAATTTTCAAATTATTTTCAGATAATATCTAACCACCTTATCTGATTATGAATGATAAATGCAAATGATAGATTCCAATAAATAGCAATTTCAAACATTAGTTTGAAAAAAAAAAACGAAATACTTCCATATGTGTCTTTTTTATTCAAGAAAATAAATCAATTTAATAAATGAAAGTCAAATAAAAGATTGCTTATTTATTTTTATCTTATCAATATTATCAATTATTGGACCAAAAATTGATAACTTATTATGAGCAAAAAAATTTGTCTTAATAATTAAATATTTTAAATTTCTGAAAATAA